AAATTAATATATTTTAATATGTTTTTAGCATGTCTTTATATTATTTATTTACACAATTTTATTATTGTATTTTGAAGAAAAAAAACGGCTCTCCATAAAAATGAGCATCATATCAATAATATCAACAAGGTTTACTTTGTTAATCCCTTTTTCTCAACACAAACTTGGAGCAGAGGGCTGTCGTCTAAAGCAGCAGGTGGAGGGTTAAAKGCCTTGCTCAAGGGTCCACAGCAGGAATAATAATGGTGGAGGCAGATGCAGAGGTTTCACTTTACCCAACCAAATTTTAGATGAATAAGCCTTCCACAACATTTAAAACATAAAAGAAAACCTTTTTTTTATTTCTATAATTGACAAAGACACGTCTTTAATAGACTTGAGAGATTAGGGTCAGATAAAGTTAGAAACAACTCACCGAACATGGTTGGATTTTTGATGTGAATAAGTCGTGAAACTGTGTCCCCTCCAAACACGTGGGTGCCAAAACTAACGAGCGTTGAATCAAAAGATAAAACATCATCATTAAAATCCACAATTAAGGGTTAGAGTACAAAAAAACCTGCGTAACGGACGATATGGGTGGTCTCTGAAACCGGTCGTTGGCTTGTGGGAAGTAAAGAGGACATCCCTTCACTGTCATCTTCATCAAAATAYGAACTGGTTCGAGATCTCCAACCTGCAGCAGAGACACCATTTTCACCAAAAGAGAAACTTGAAAGTATYGCATTTCATAATATACTGTAGTATAGCACACCTTGCATATGAGGTCATCCCTGTATTCCCCCCACATGTCCGTGTAGGCGGTCACGTCCACAGTCTGGGTCTCAAAAGGTCCCAGCAGACCTGAATCTGGAAGGACTTGAAAAGCTGCACCTTTTCCAGCAGCCAGAAGGCTGCTCACAAACTCTGACAACAKATGAACCAATGAACTGCTGTGATGAAGCCTTTTGGAACCAAAGCCTGAAAATGTGTTAAAGGTACCTTCMTGCGCTTTCATTTCTATTTTCTTTGCTTGTAACGGATGAAGATGCTTCTTGATCTGCACAGATCTGTGATTATGATGCGAACTGTTGTATTTGTTCAAATATRTTTAAACTGTGATATTATTCAGGTCAGTGAGAGGTGTCTTACCTTTTCTCCGACTGGTTATTTGACCCRAAGACGTGGCAGGTAAAATATTCTGCGTGGACGGTAAAAGGAGCAGGGATAGCCGTCTGATTGGTTATCAGAAGCTGTTTGGTCGCAGCTCTCTTTAAAGTTACATCTCCAAAGTCAAGCTCCGGCGCTGAAGTGTTGCAGTCCTGTTGCGTGGAACTGAAGGCAACGTGTAACAACTTAAGAGGGATTTTTTTTCCTTGTGTAAAACGATTAAATTTTTAGAGAGAAAACTTTAAGAGACGTTTGCTACCGGTCACTGGGCAGAGAGTAGGACACGCAGAGTTTCTTAGTTCGGGATGCCACAATGTCCAGAACGAGGGGTAAATTCATTCCTTCAACTCCACACACAGCAGCCACGTCAGTCAGTTCCAACTAAAAACAAACAAAATGACAAACATCAWAACACTTTGCCTTCCAACACATTCTGTCCCCTTCATGACAAACATGAAAACGTGCTTTACATGTGTGTGAGAAGTGAAGTTAACTGTGATCTCTGTGCTTTCATTAGGTCCCAGAGTACCAGAGGAGGGGTCGAAGCTGGCTGTACAAAGTGCAGCCTGTTTACCCTGGAGCTGGGCCTGATGGGTGAAATAACAAACATGTAGTAAGTGACAATATATGCTAGAGATGTTCAGGTTGGAGAGAGTTTCTAAAGGATTCAATGGGAGTTCAGAGGAGAGCGCAGCATACCATCCAGCTGAACTGTGACGGCAGCAGAGTCCGATTGAAAAGCGTCACGCTGCCGCTGGTGGAAACTCCCACATAAAGATCAGAGAAGACGAGCTGGGCGTTTCGGAGGCACACCTGAGGAGACTGCACGTCCGCTCGCACCTGCAGGTGACTGTCAGAAACGGTCAGAGACACGACCCGTGASCAAGTCCTCCACAAGACACGAGTGAAGCACGAGGCTCACCATCCCACTCCATCCTCCACTTTCAGCTCCAGTTCTGTCTCAAACTGCTGGCAGAAACGTGGCCTGAAGACCACTTCCACTTGGCAGGAGGCCAAGGGTGGCAGCACACCTTCACGTGGCTCCACTGAGATCTGAGCAGCGAAACAGATCAGTGGATAAAGCTGTGAACGACTACCTGCTGTCAGAACGTCAGCACGGTACCTGCGTGTCTCCAGGGTCCTGCAGCGGAGGAAGTTTCTCCTCCAGCATCCAGGAGGACTTCAGTCTGCTGGTGTTGGTGAGAAGAAAAGTGGTCCAAGTCTGCTCCCCGAGTCTTACAAGCCCAAAGTCMACACTGGGAACACTGAGTGTCACCGTAGGACCCTGTTTAGGACAAAAACAGTCAGCATCAACAAAAATAATAAAGTAAGAGATAATGTTTAAAGTCTTACTTTGAAAGAGACTTCTACAGCCAAACAAATGGGTTCATGGTGATGCTGTATGTTGCAAACCAGGACGGTCTTAACCTTTTCTGGTTTCCCTCCAGTCAAAATAAGATCAAAATCCAAACACTGGCTCTCTTCTGAAAACCCCAAAATACAACAAATAAACAATTTAAAAGGCAGTGCATGAAAAAACAGGGAAATGCAAACATTAAACCACAAAATACCATAAAACTTGTTTATTGTGCAACAYACCTATTCGACCAGCAGGTGGCTTCACCTCTATAACGTGGCAGCTGTTTAACTTTTCCCATTGAAACCAGATGAAAGTTTTGCTGTTGTTCCACATCTAAAACACAGACAATATAAAAAAAATCAATTTTAGTTTAATGAGATTATTAAAAAAAACAATGAAGAAGTGTCTAAGCCCACCTTGAAGTGCCTGCGAACAGTTGTGCACATCAAAATCTCTCCAGGGATTATGACAGCGTAGGGCTCCAGGAGGATCTGGTAAGGCTCTGTGGACCCTCTGACCTCTATCTCTGTGGTGGTCACATCTTGCACCCTGTAGCCAGTCTGTACAGGCTGAAGGACACTATCCACACCCCCCACAAACAAAATCAGCACTGAATGCAAAATCAGAATCATTTAATCTTTACAGTTTGCAAAGAATAAATAATTTCACCTGCTCTCACTGGGCTCAGGTAGCAGCTGGGGAACATCTTTCAGGACCAAGTGACACACACTGTGATAATCCTCCAACTTAAAAAAAACACACAAACATTATTAACTGAGACTTTCAGTAATAAGCTTCAATTGTGCTCTGTGTARCTTTGTCTCCATCACCTCTTTTGGACTGAAGGTTAACAGAAACACTTGGTCCTGACAGGGAGCCAGCACTCCTGATGTGGGGCTGATGTGGAAAACATCATCTGTTGCTGGGTGGAAGTGGATATTTGAGGATTCAGGAGGCTGCCCTGGAAGGAGGACCTGCAGATTGGGCTTCATGATTTGCCAGAAGAACGGCAGCTCCACGTGGCTTCAGAAGAAGAGACAAAAGAGGAAAAAGATTTACCTGCACCCCAAAAGGAGAAACTCATGTTTATAAAAATGACGCTGAATTCAGTGTTATTAAACTTACATTTTGTTTCTAATAACAASAGTTTTTTGTTGCACGGTGTGAGGGTTGCACGGGCTGAAACGGACAAAGTGCTCCGTGGTGACGCCGTGGACCTCTCCCGTCGTAAGAAGCTCGGTCTGTCCAGAAACAGACACGAGCTCAACTGAAGTAAAGTGGCCTTCACCTATAAAACGCACACAAACATCACTTTAAATCTATGTGTAAAAAGAGCTCATTTGGGGTAAGTTTCATGCAAAGACTCACCTTTAATTGAAATGTCTTTGACCTGGCAGTTGTCACAAACAATAGTAAAACTTTTACTGCTCCTCTCTCCAGCAGTTGGAGAAAAGATCACCTGCAAACCAACAAAGACACATACGCTGAACACTGGTCTGAATTACACCAAACAGAAAAGATTTGGATTATTTTGTTTYGTCAAACATWAAATCTATGAAAAACAAGTTTAGTACGACAGTAGTTGTGCTTCTAATCCTCTTATACAGAGCAGGTGCTGTAATAAAACACTTAAAACAAAAATCTCTCTTTGAGTTGAATTTCAGAGATATCCCTCTGCATCCTGACCAACAGTCTGGCATCAGACCGGATGGCGCTACAGAGGGTGGTGAAAGCCRCCCAGCGCATCACTGGAGCACCACTTCCTGCCATAGAGGACATCTACAGGAAGCAGTGTCTGACAAGGGCTGGGAAAATCATCAGACTCCAGTCACCCAGCACACAGACTATTCACCCTCTTGCCCTCTAGGAGGCGCTACAGGAGCCTCCGAACTAAGACCACCAGGTACCAGAGAAGCTTCTTCCCCACAGCTGTCACACTCCTGAACTCTGCCTCCTGACACACACTAATACCACACACGCCTAAACAACTTTTTTGGGTCCGGGGGCCCCTTACAAAGGTGAAAATTTTCCAGGGACCCCCTCATAAACCCCATGCTGTTTTAAAAGTGATTCACTGTCATTTTAACCCCTGATTTCCAGGGGCATCATATTTTTTTTGTTTGGTTTAGTGTCTTTGTTTTACTAGTGTATTATTCCCCATATGCATATATTTTAAATAAAACACAAATTAACAATTTATTGAAAATTTTGAGGAACCCAAGATACAGCTCGCGGACCCCTGGGGGTCCTGGGACCCCAGTTTGAGAACCTCTGGTTTAGATAATCTCCTCATGTTTACAAGTACATAATCTATTAATACCTCTTCATATTTATAACCTGTGTGAGCAGTGTGGTTTTCGTCCTGGTCGTGGAACACTGGACCAGCTCTACACCCTCAGCAGGGTCCTGGAGGGTGCATGGGAGTTCGCCCAACCGGTCTACATGTGTTTTGTGGACTTGGAGAAGGCGTTCGACCGTGTCCCAAGAGAGGCCTTGTGGGGGGTTCTCCGGGAGTATGGGGTACCGGGCCATTTGATACTGGCTGTCAGGTCCTTGTACGACCGGTGTCAGAGTCTGGTCCGCATTGCCGGCAGTAAGTCGGGCTCGTTTCCGGTGAGAGTTGGACTCCGCCAAGGCTGCCCTTTGTCACCGATTCTGTTCATTACTTTCATGGACAGAATTTCTAGGCACAGCCGAGGTGTTGAGGGGATCCATTTTGGTGGCCTTAGGATCGCATCTCTGCTTTTTGCAGATGATGTGGTCCTGTTGGCTTCATCGGAACGTGATYTGCAGCTCTCGCTGGAGCGGTTCGCGGYCGAGTGCGAAGCGGCCGGGATGAGGCTCAGTGCCTCCAAATCTGAGGCCATGGTCTTGAGCCGGAAAAGGTAGAGTGCCTTCTCCGGGTCAGGGGGGTCGCCCTGTCTCAAGTGGAGGAGTTTAAGTATCTGGGGATCTTGTTCACGAATGGGGGAAGAACGGAGCGGGAGCTCGACAGGCGGATTGGCGCAGCGTCTGCTGTAAAGCGGGCGCTGTACCGGTCCGTCGTGGTGAAGAGAGAGCTGAGTCAGAAAGCGAAGCTCTCGATTTACCGGTCGATCTACGTTCCTACCCTCATCTATGGTCATGAGCTTTGGGTCATGACCGAAAGAACGAGGTCCCGGATACAAGCGGCCGAAATGGGTTTCCTTTGCAGGGTGTCTGGGCTCTCCCTTAGAGACAGGGTGAGAAGCTCAGTCATCCGGGAGGGACTCAGAGTAGAGCCGCTGCTCCTCCACGTCGAGAGGAGCCAGTTGAGGTGGCTCGGGCATCTGGTAAGGATGCCTCCTGGACGCCTCCCTGGTGAGGTGTTCCGGGCACGTCCCACCGGGAGGAGGCCCCGAGGAAGACCCAGGGCACGCTGGAGGGACTATGTCTCTCGGCTGGCCTGGGAACACCTTGGAGTTCCCCCGGAGGAGCTGGAAGAAGTGGCTGGGGAGAGGGAGGTCTGGGCCTCCCTTCTGAAGCTGCTGCCCCCGCGACCCGACCCCGGATAGGCAGAAGAAAATGGATGGATGGATGGATGGAAATTTATAACCTGTTCATAATCTGTACATGCATAACCTGTTTATACTATACTTACAGTTACAGCATATTCACACAATTTACTGTACATTTGCAATATAAATATTTATTTCTTGCTAAGCACTCTGGATGGATGCAAACTGCATTTCGTTGCTTCATACTGTAACATGTGCAATGACAATAAAGTTGAAGTCTATTCTGTTCTATTCTATTCTCTACTGACTCACCTCCACAGTGGTGGTCTCTCCTGGCTGCAGAGCAAACAGGGAGGGCCCCACTACAAAGGGTGGCTGCTCAGAAAAGTACGTCCTGGATGCAGACTGTATAGAAGAGAAAAAGGCTAAATTAATGCTTGTTCATTTTGATACTACATTTTTTTGTTTGTTTGTTTGTTTTAGGGTTGGGCATAATCGTATCGTGTGCAATTAATCGTCAGAAAGACATTAATCAATTATTTTTGGCACTTGACGATTAATACGATTAAAGTGCCTGTGAGGTCTAATTTTTGTAATACATACGAACGCATTTTTAGAAAGAGGACATTGATAAAATATTGTAAAATAAATTTCACGTCGCTGAGATGAACAGTTGCTGAGATATTTGCTTGTGAAGTAACAGGAAGTGATGTCAAAGGGGAAAGTCTGAGTGTGAACAGAGCGTTGCTACAGCAGCTGATAACACAGACTGTAGAGAAGAATCTGATGTTTCTTTATTATTTTGAGTCTTTATCAGAGAGATGAAGAAGAGTCAGAGTTCAAATAATATTGTTTCAATAAACAAAGACCAGAGTTTTCTTTGTTAAAGAGTTCCCATTTGATGTCACTTCCTGCTTCACTTTGGCTGAGCCAAGTTCAAAAGAAAATGTGCCAGTTATGGGACAAAATGGGAAAAATTGTGTGTGTTGTTCCAACTTTCTTAAATATAAAGATGTCTTCTTTGACTTTTTGTATTTGAAGAATATGCATGTCACAGGCACTTTAATGTTGTCCAGGGACTCCAGAGGATTAWTCGTCAAATTAATCATTATCGTCTAAATACCACAATTAATTGTGATTAACTTTTTTGCCAATATTGCCCAACCCTAGTTTGTTTGTTTTGTTTTGATGTACTTGATGTGTTTTCACTTAGTGAATAGATTTTTACCCTAAGATTTGAGTTAGACCACTGGTCCTTGGGCGCGATGTAAAACATCCCAGAGCTGAGTCCCACATTTTGGCACTGAAACTCAACAAACTTCACTCCTCCAACCAGACAGTCCCCACAGTCCAGAACTCTTGGAACTGCACAGGAAGCAGATTGAGGTAGAGACAAAATGTGGACCAAATGAGGATCTCTGATGTGTTTAAGAGGCTGGTAGCGAGACTTACGGGTGAGTATTGGAGGGGGTCTTTGTGCCTCGATGGGAACTAYGACCTGCTCAGCCTGGGTCTCCACCACGACAAAATCACTGTAGTTCCCCAGAGAGTCTGGTCTGAAACGCAGCGTGTACATACAACTCATCCCTGGGGCAACAATACCACCTTTACCGGGGAATCTCCCTGCARATGCATAACACGAGGACAAAACATTTCACTGCAAATCCCTTCTTCAGCAAATCTGTTTCTTCCTGGTGCRGCGGCTGTTTGAAACGTTCCAGAAATGTTTGGCTAGACTTCATCAGGTGCTCTCGCCACATGGGCGTGCTCTGGTGCTGCAAAATGCAATCCAGTCGTAGCTGAGAGGCACTCACCCAGGCCAATGGAGAAGTACTGAGTTGTAGGAGGGACGACTCTGACGTGGCGGCTCGTGGAAGTCACGTTCGTCAGCTCCAGTGTAGACTGAAACAGAACAAGGCGTGTTGCTGTGTTGTTTATTTAAATGCCAGGTTAGGATTGTCCTGTTGTGTCACTGAGACAAACCTCGTAGACATCTCCCACACTGTAATCCGTAAACATAATCACTGAGGGCTTTGCTTGGAAGACCGGGGCAAGATCGTCCGTGGAGCTTTTTGAAAGGAAACAACACAATTGGCCTCAAACTCCGTCTCATGTCAAATATCAAGATGACAATCATGATTCAAACCGCCGCTTTCTGACATTGTTTGTCTTTCACAGCTGTGTAAAGACTGTTTTAATGAGAGCATTTCTGCTCAGAGGGATAAAATATCATGGTTCCAGTGAGAAATGGATTAAGGGAAGCACCGTTTTTTTTAATACTGCCTGGCTCGGGGATAAATTTGTAAAACATAAGGTATCGACTTACATTTTATGTCWTTAACACGACAGGTGTACAGCTGAGCTAAATGATGCTCATGTTTCATGTCAATATTGATGAAGGATCRTCTGACCTGGGCCTATTGTGTTTCATCAACTAATGTTCATACCAGTAACGCTCTATGTCAACATGRCAACCTGTTTTTGGTCCTTGTGTAATAATGATAAGCAYTTATTTTGTGCTGAGTACATTATAGTACCTTTGATCCTCTGAGCCTTTCGTCCAACGCTTTGTCTTCCCTTTGGGACGCCTGAGGGACATTCTGCCCTGATGTTCAATCGGTGGAAGGAAGCGAGGATTGCGTAGGAAGTCTTGTCGATCTTTAAACCTCTGCAGTTTATCGCTCCAATCTTCTCGATCCTTTGTGCTTGGCTCGTCCGTCCACTTTGGCCTGGATCTGATCTGGTTTGGCTTCTGAAACACGTCGAATATTAGAGCTGGTCTCTCAAGTTCTCTCACTGAGTACAATAAAAACAAACTTCCATCACCTGTTCTGGTAAAACTCAAGAATAAGTAGAGAATTTGCATTTCCTGCAAAAATGCAGTGTGAATGCTTTCTGCAGGGGTGCCCGAAGTTTTTTTTCCCAAGAGGACCAAAATAAAAATCCATGAGGGCTGTGGGCCAAATGCAATAATATCATAAATAAAATACAAATACTTATTAAGTAAAGTCCTTTCGTTTTTTATGATTAAGCAAGCAGCCAGAGAAGTGGCCCATGTTTTTTTTTTTATTTTACTCGTGCACTTGAAGAAAGTTAGACATACCCTCAGGCGGCAAAAGCTAATGTGATATTTCATAAATTGATAAAATATGAGTATTTGTGATCTTATAAAGTGTACAAATCTACATGTTTGATTGAATCAAATATAAATGTCTGTTATAGTGTGTGAACTTTATCTTAGAATTATATTAAGATTAAACACAAACTACAAGTAACAACAAGTATATAGTCACTGGGCTAATGAATGAAATAAATGAATGGAAATACAGTGTTTCTACTTAGAATGATAGAAGATTACAACCTAGTAATCAGGACAATTGCTGGTGGGTCAATTTTGGCCCGCAGGCCCCATTTTGGGCACCTCTGGCTTAATGCTTAAAGATTTCTGCTAAATAGCTAAAAAAAAAAAAAAGAGCTCAAAATAACCTAAAAATAGCTGAAATTCAAACAAAGAAATAGCAAAGAGCATGTTTGCTTCATTAAGCAGTAAAAAGCTGAACTTATCACAAAACGATGCGTTTAGCTGGGAAAAAGCTCAAATTAGCTAAAAAAAATGCTAAATAGATGAAATTAGCAGAAAGCAGCTGAAAGAAGCATAAATAATTTAAAATAGCAGAAAGAAGCTGAAAGAAACACAAAGCAGTTTAATAAAGCAGAAAAAAGCAAACAACAGAAGAAAAGCAGCCAAAGGAAGATGAAATCATTGCAAAGGAGTTAAAATTGCAGAACTGGAATAAAAGGTAGTAAAGATTAATGAACATTTATGGTTTTAAAGATGTTGCAAACAGCTCTATTAATTTTCAATGATAAAAAAAAAGGGGCTGGAAATGCTAAACATCTCAAAAAGTATCCTAAAGGAAAGTACTAAAAGCAATAGCCGAAATGTCCAGAAGGAGCTGAAAGTTTTCATGTATTAACTGTTGAAATAGCATCAAAACTGAGAAAGAACATCCTGTACAGAATAAAAAAACTGATCTCAGTTGTGTGAATGGTTGTAACCAGTTGTGSAGTCAGTTTGAACGGTTACCTTTGTGGGGACTCCCTGCATCATCTGAGACTCTGTGCTGGATTGGACGGTGAGTCTTCTGTCCAACATAGTCTTCTTTGGAATCAGTGGAAACTCGGGGAGCTCACARGACGTGTGCTGGATGAAAGAAAAGGTGGGATTTGCATGACTGGATTTAACTGTGAAGAAAATGTAAAAAAGAAGAATGAATGAAATTGTACTCATTATTGTCCTGATGCATCTCAGCAATCCAGATAAAAATCAGAAAGAAAAAAATTGTATAAGTCTTCTGGATGGGTTCTTCTCTAACGAAACGTTTCGTCTCTCGCAACATACGGAATAACCAGTGGTTATTCTGTATGTTGCGGGTGTTTCGGAGAAACTGAGACGTTTATTTTCTAAACATGAYGTCCCAGTRGCTTTCAAACCCCAAAACACATTAYGGCAAAGGCTGGTTCACCCCAAAGATCCGGTGCCCCGGCACAAACAGAGCAATGTTGTATATGCTGTTAAGTGCCAGGAGGACTGCGACCAGTTATACATCGGGGAAACAAAGCAGCCACTGTTCAAAAGAATGTCCCAACACAGACGAGCTACATCTAATGGCCAGAACTCTGCAGTTTTCACTCATTTACAGGCCAGCGGTCACTCTGTTCTCATTCTTGATAGAGAGGAACGTTGGTTTGAGAGAGGAGTAAAAGAAGCCATTTTTGTGAAGAAAGACCGTCCATCATTAAACAGAGGTGGAGGCCTCCGTTTTCAGTTGTCCCCCTCCTACAGCGCGGCTATTGCCAGTATCACTCCACCCCMTGTTAACAATAGGTGTTAATTAGGTGTCAACGATAGCCATGTGATGTGAGTATCAGTCACATGGAGGCAGGRCTYAAAAGCCTGAATTTTGCCTGAAACTCTCAGACTGAAGAAGTCTCTTGGAGGAGAGACGAAAMGTTTCATTAGAGAAGAACCCGTCCAGAAGACCTATACAGTTTTTTTTCTTTTTGTACTCGTTATTAYTTCAGTATATCAGGAGGCTTCAGGTACCTGCAACTGGTGCATGTTCTCGTGGTTTTTGTCTAGTTGAGAAATCCCTTGGGGAGATCAGGTTGTTTCTTTGGAGAAGCTCTTCGTCGACGCACCAGGAGAAGGYGGATTGGACTGAAAACACAGATTATTATACGATCATCACAGTTTTTTAAAGTAAATGTACACAGATAAAGTGTAGGTGGAAGTTGCAGGCTGTCTGTTCTGTTTAATACCATAAAATCAACAAAATCTCACCTTTAAACAACCCCTGATCTCCCACATTCTCCATGATCTCCTCACGGGCCCGTCTTTCTCTGTCTGAAGCCCGAGCTGTGGCCTGAATTATATGATTCTCCACAAAGTCAGCCTCTTCTATAGAGCGCTGGTAGTCAGAATGAGCCTGTGGAGTGAAAACATTAACAAAAATAAATTATTTTTATTGTTTTCTCTAAGCATCGCCACTGATCAGGAAATAGCAGAACCGCTCGCTTTGTGTGACCAAAACTGGGAATTCCTGACATGTAAATKAATCAGGATCAGGAATCATTCAACATGTTTTTGTGTGTATTTTGTTTTTTAAGAAGGAAGCTCTAGTTTAATGAGGAAGTTATGAATGAGCTCACTGTTTGAGGTGAATTTACGCATGTTGGAAATGAACACATGAAGTAATGTGGTGTCACTGGCTGCTGACCTGCTGAAGCTCTTCAACCATTCTTTCACGGCAGCTGCTTCGTCCCATCTTTGTCCTGATAAGATTGGACAAGGTGTCTTTCCCTATGATGTCTTTTGTGTAAACGTCCTTAAAAATGGAGGCTAAGAGATGAGAAATATCCTGGAGTAAAAAAATAAATAAATAAACGTTAGGTGGGCTTTTGTAATAGTAACCATTACAGTTATATTTAAGTCTTACCTGTGACTTTCCCGAAGTGGGTCTGTGACTGTCCACTGGAGGGTCCTCGAACATTTTGTGTCCAGTTGTTGACACTGTTTAAGTCTTTAAAACTGCTAATTATAAGTTATTTACCTAAAACACGATGCAGTTTATTTTATTATCTATATTATAGGCTACATTATCAGCAACAAAAGTGACGGAAATCGGCAGCCGAATTTGTGAACCTGCGGTTGCCAAGCAACGGACAACAGCTAGCTAACTTGAGTTGAGTGCGCGCGCAGCCTGCATGWTAAACAGCGACAAATAAAACAAACAAACACACCTGTTTGTACCTTTAATGTTACAGCAAAGGTATGTTTCCTGCAAACTTTAAAACGTTATTTTTGCCCCCTGTTGAACTGTTTTAACATGTGAACACAAATGAGCCAAAGTTTAGCTAAATAAAATGTTTGCTTTAGCTCAAGCCTTGCTGTAGGAACCATAGCCACTAAYTGCAAAATCAATTATATAACAATATTAGGAGTTTACTAATATTGAGGAATATCATGTATTTGAATATAATGGTCTTATGCAAAAGGTCATTTTGCTTTACTCCTGCGATGCCTGTTTTGTGCTCATTAAAAATGTTTAAATAGGCTTTTACTTATCTATAAATAAGAATTTACCTTCTTAAAGCAGATGTTCACTTGGAAGGTAATTAAAATGGCTGTAAGCAGAGAAAAGTGATTACAGCTTATTTGAGACAATGTTTCAGGAGCTCTGAGAAGATCTGTGTGTGAAACAATTATAAAAAGTCAAATATGGACAAACCATGGATGACAAAAGTACTGAGAAATGCTTGAAAAAAACAGAATCATTTGTTTCCTTGTTTTCTGAAATCGAGGTCAAAAGAATCAGAAGAGAAATACAAGAAATATAAAAACAAGCTAGTTTGGATTATTAGAAAGCATAAGAAGAAATATTATAGTGATTTATTAGACAAATGTAAAAATGATATGAAGAAAACATGGAGAGTAATGAATGATGTTTTGAAACATAAGGTAAAATCAGATATTTCTCAATATTTTATTAAGAATAACAATGAAATCTATGAGCAGAATGAAATTCTAAATTAATTTAATAATTACTTTGTGAGTGTTGGTCCAAGTCTTGCTGCTAAAATACCAAATGTAAATGATAGTGTGACTCACACAGTGATAGGTTGTACCAACAGTTTTTCCCTTGATGGAACTAACAAAGAAGAAATAATGAATATGGTTAAAAATTGTTGATAAAAAAACCAAAAGACTGGATGAACATTGATATGGCGCTTGTGAAGGAAATTATGGATTATGTCATTGATCCATTTACATATATATACATATATATGTGTGTGTATGTGTGTAATTTATCACTTTCAACAGGAATACTTCCTGATGGCATGTAAATAGCAAAGGTAATCCCTTTTACTGAAAGGGATGTACTAAAAGGGACAGGAACAGGATGAGCAAACTGATACGGAGGTCAAGCTCTGTGCTGGGATGTCCTCTGGAGCCTGTGGTAGTGGTGGGTGAGAGGAGGATGTTAGCAAAGCTGACAGCCATCATGAAAAAACCCCACCACCCTCTGCATGGAAGGGGGGGGGGGGTGGCGCAGAGCAGCTCCTACAGTCAGAGACTTAAACATCCTCGCTGCAGGACGGAGCGCTTCTGTAGGTCATTCATTCCAGTTGCAGTTAGACTGTATAACACATCATGTTATCAGTCACTTGGACAATTCACCTACACTGCCATCAGTATACAGTATATATACAGACCAATGAGCTGATATACAACTCAGCATCAGTGATCCTTGAGATGCTTGGCTATAAGAGCAACCATGAGACCCAATACCCACCATGGAAAAGACAGTTAGAGGCTAAGATCAAGATAACAAGGAGGGAAGTGAGCCAACTGTCAGAGCTCCTAGGAATGTAATGAAAAGATCAGTACCCAAGAAGTACAGCCAGATGCCCATACCTGAAGCACTCGAAATTGCCAAACAACGGCTCCAAGCCTTGGCCAGCCGCCTAAAGAGATACACAAGAGAGAATGAATCCAGGAGGATTAACCAGCTCTTCTCCACCCAACCAGCTAAAGTGTACTCTCAGTGGCAGGGTAATAACAACAGAGCAGACCCACCAAGGCTGGAGACTGAACAATACTGAAAGGCATATGGGAAAGGGAGATGTCCCACAACAGCAATGCACAGTGGCTAACCTCTACGACAAGGCCACAGCAACCTCCCTGAACAAGCCCCGGTAACCATCACTGTGCCAGAT